TTACAAGCAGCTGCATGAAAACATCAACTCAATGCTCAGGAGCAGGAAAAAAAATAAAGACGACTGAATCGGGGGCTATTGGGAAAGTAACAGGGAGCAAACCAGATCACCATACCACCCACGGTTTGAATACTGGGTGTACCTTGGTGACCGTGTATGGGAAGAGGAAGGTCTCAAAGAAAGGAAATGGGATTATCACTTGTTGAATAGTGGCTGTACTGGAAGGACTGAATTGGCTAGGACTGCTCAACCTGGAAAGTAGCTGAGAGAGAGGGAATATGATACTGGCCTACAAAATTGCAAATGGCTGGACAGGACAGTTAGGGACTCATTCACATCCTCTTCTCCTTTAACAACCAGAGGCCACCAAATCATCATAGTGGATCCTGGTTTGAAGCAAATAAACCGAGGTTGATTTTCACAGTGAGACACCCAAAGGTGTTACTAATTAGACCAGCCAAATCAGACTCTGCTGAAAATAGCTGGATGGGGTGGATACGATATGTGCCTGCACTGTTTTCACTCCTCCCTGGGCACCTGCCTGTAACTACTTTTGGTCGCTGTTACACGTGCTCTTTCAGTTACAGATTAGTCCTTCTCAGCAGCAGCTCTCCTCACAGACAACAATGAGCTTACCTCCCCTAGCCTTCACTTGTCTCCTCTTTTTCCGAACTTCAGAGCACATTTCTACAGCCCCATAGAACAGCACTCTAATGGTGCAGAGTAACAAACTTCCTTGGCCACATCTTCTGTGCATCTGGTATGTTGGCCCGGTACCCTGTGCAGCAGTTCTACTGTTTTTTGGCACGTCCCTTGACACCTTACTGTCTTCTTGACCTGCAAAGGCATGGGTGAGCAGATTACACTGGTCGAGCTGGATTGGTCTGAACAGGCAGAGCCATTCCTACAGTCATGGGTGGAGGTGTGCTCCCTGCTGCTTCGGAGGTTAGGCGGAGGCTTTGCAGCTCCTGTGCTTCAGCTTGCCTTGTAGTTACACACTGAAAGCTGGTATCAGTGGTGAAAAACACAGTCTGACGCTCTCCCTTCTGCTGAGCCAAGAGCTCATCCAGCAAACCAGCCAAACGCTGTTCCAAGTCAAAAGTAAACTTTTCTCCCTCCTCCTGGTTTAACTTTAACCCAGGACTGATCCAAGCCACCCTAAGGTCACACATGCTTGTGGCAGTATGAGGGAACGGTGAGATCCAGGAGTCAGGTTAGGGGAAAGACTAGTCTGCCTCTCTCAGCTGCAGCACATACTTGAGCTGTTTGTGAAACCATGACTCTGTGCACATAACTTACACTGATTTCCAACTCCCCGATGCTTTCATGGATGTTGCACTGATTATTTTTGTAGCATCCAAATCTTAAGTCAGACATAGGTAGGGAGAGTGTTTTATATCTCTCAGTGTTTGACTTGCAAAGTTGGCACTGCTGAGGAATTTATTTTTTGTTAGCTGAAGACAACCACCTTTACACCAATCAATCCTGCCTGAAGGTACAGTCCCCAAAAAGGCTAAACAGCCAGCTCCACCCTCCTGGGCTACATGTTCTTGCCCCATCACTACCTGGCTGCACAGGCACACATCAATTCAAGGAATTGATTCAAATTGATTGAACAATCAGCCTGGTCTGCCTGCTCTGTTAATTGGAGCAAAATAGTTCATATTAAATTCAGGATGAGGCTTTGCAATGCAGCTACAGATGAGAGAAACTTCCCAGGATTTGTCCTTGTTTCAATGACAAATAAAAAAACAAAGCAAAACAATCCTTATAAAGGTTCCTCCTCTTTATGTGCGGATTAGTTTAGTCTTCATTGCACTTTGGTTGCAGCAAAACACATTTGCAGCATTGTATAATGTCCTGGTTTGGCTAAAACAGGACTATTTCTCCTTTCAGTGTATTTTCTTTCAGTTAAGTTTCTTCGAAGCAACTGCACTTTCTAAAGTTAGCTACATGTTTTTCAGATAGTGTCTGCTTTCACCATGATAATGCTAGATACTTACAGCCAAACCAGGACATATATCCTGGTTCATAAAAGCAATAGCATGCTTGATTAAATTCTGAGTACCGGCTCTCTTTTTCCCCTCCTAACAACACAAGTTAGATGCAGAGGAAGATGCCCCTCCCCACCCCCTTTAAAGACACAAACCCAGATGGTATTGCTGTAACAGTGAAGGAAAAGCCGAAAGGACATTAGTAGTCTCTATTATAAAAATTAACTAGACTTAAAAGAACTTTCTACCTCCCAGTGAGCATAGCTTGAAGGAATAAGCTGCACTTAGAGGACTGTAGGCTCCTTGAATAGCATTAGTTTGTCAAGTTCGTCACGCATAGTACAACCTTCTTTTTTCTATTAATTAAAACTTTTTCTCTAAAAGCTTTCAACAACACAACAGTAACGTCTAACTCTTATATGTGTAATTGGCAGACTTCTGCTGTTGCTGCAGGTAAGAGGTGAAAGATTCTTCCTTACAACCTGCTTTGTCAATCCACAGATGAAGAAGGCTAGAAGGGAGAAGTGGTCGAGACGATCAGCGCTGACCTTCACATGAGCTGAGTGGAGTGCTCTGACTGATCGTTTGATAGCCCCCAACTCTGATCCCATCAATGGCAGGAAAGGAAGAACAAAGAATGACAGTACAGGTACAAGCATTATTTGGTGTACTTCTGACTAAATAACAAGAAGAAATAAATTTTGTCCCACAAAAGACTGCTTATATTAAGCATATTATTTTTCAGCAATATAACAGTCATCCATGAATCATGAGCGGCATCTTTGTGGTATTATATAGACACACAGACAATTCATCACCTTTACAACATAAAACCTGTAACCCTTGGACTCCTGGCAGAACACAGGTAGTGCTGTAATTACATGAACTGGATGCTCCTCCTTCATGTTATTCACTACCCCACACAGAGTAGGAAGCACACTAGGCTGTTCAGCAAGATAAAGGACAATCTCATGCTCTGTTTATCGCACGCAGGCTAAGGGAAGAGTTCAGATGGCAGTTTGCGAAGATGGTGCAACCCTCTTCTTCCCAAATCCTTTCAGTGAACTGTGGCCTCCTATGTACAGTTATTTTCCAGTAAGGATGCCGCATTACATGTTCAGTAATAAACAAGCAATTATTTCCCTGCATTTTTGTCAGGGAACAGGAAGAGCAAACTGTTTCTGCCTGAGAAGCATATGTGTTCCACGTCATCTAAAGAGCTGTAATCTCTTTGCTCCTCAATGAGACATTTGTTAATATACGTTGCTATTTTAGCTTGGATCTCTGAAGCACCACCACAAAACTTCCTACTTTCATGCTAAGCACCTCCTAAAAGTTAGTAGACAAGACTGCAGCAGATAAAAACACAGCTAGAGCTTAATTAATCCTTGAGACGACAGATTAGACACATTAAACAAACCTCTTAGTCTTTATTATTTATGGAGGAAAAGCCCTTGTTACCGAAGTAGGGGGAGAACACGGAAATCAAAGAACAAGAGAAGGGAAGGAACAGACTAGCACACACAAAAAAATAATTTATTATATAAATACTTATGCCCTTTAAGCTGTACAAGACTGAAGTGTAGCAAGAATTTGAGCAATCTACACTCTTCCTCACTCTCCATATTTGAAATGATGAGTATTTCCTATCTATATACCAGCTGTCTCAGAGTACTTTTTGGACTGAGGGCTTTTCTTTGTAGGGATCCAGCGACACGTAAGTCTCAGATAGGTCACTTGGATGCCAGTTCAATGTACAGCTTAGTGAAACATATCAGGACTGCAAGATTTGAAAAAGAAAAGAAAAAAAGCATTTCAATCTTACTACCAAATATATATCCATCAGCTTTCCAGATTAAAATTAAATGTGATTCCTTATTCCTGAGTGGTCACAAATATTCTGGGTGACGCAAGAGGACTTTAGATTCAGAAATCCACTGGGGCTAAAGGTTGCCATCTTTTTAATGTGTTTGTTTATATCTTATTATTTCTCCACAGTTCTGAACCATTTAGTTCTAGCTATCTGCTAATAAGATAAGGGAACAGTTTTGCTCTAATGAAATGCGTCATTAGGTAAATTTTACTTAACCCATTTAGACATTATAGCCACAGTTCTCAGACTTCTAAATCACTGTTAGGAATAGGATCTTTGTTACCTGAAGCAGGCGAGTTGAACTACTCAGCATTCTGAAGAGCACGTAAAAGCATAAAAGAAAGCACCCAACTCAAATGTGTTATAAAAAAAAAAAATCTTATTTAGACATCTTAAAAAATACAAGGTACATTATATAAAAATCAAATACCTATTCATCAAAACTTTGTTAAATAGCCTCATTTAAGATCACGTACTGGCAAACGTTAAGTAACAGTGGATAATCTCAACTAACATTATATTTCAGTGCTAGCTGACAACAAGTTCAGCTTGTCAACTCAATAGGATAAACTTACAGGCTTCTGCCATGTTATTATTTACAGCATAACTTGGAAAGCAATATAAAAATATATTACACTAAAGATAATAAGCAGTCTACACCAAGACAGTGAAATGGATTCTCCTTCCCTTCTTTCTACCATTTCAAATGTTCAGTGTAAGCAGATACACAGAGCAAGGTCCTACATACACAATCTGTTCAGCTGCTTAATACATTACAGTTAAAGGCAAACAAAACAGATTTCTCTGTTAATTAAATATACTAGCAACACTACATAACATTCCAGTGGCATTTTGCTTTTCAAAAACTTTGACATTGAACAAAAATGTCTTCAACCACAAGTCACTCCCAGGTCAGCAGCATTTTTGCAGAGCGTCTGAAATGTCATGATTTTTCTTTCCAGTCTAGCGGGAAGACTTATCTGCTTACGATTTCTACACAGGGAAAACAGCTGCAAGTTCCAAAATCCAGACTTCAATGTAATTAAAAAGATGTTTCTTCAGACTCTCTGGTCCAAAATAACGCATCACTTACATAGCAGGAGTAATAAAAGTTCACTTTTCCAGGATTAAACTCAGTAGGTTGATTTAGTGGTCCCATTTGAGTTTGAAGAATAAGAGTTTGATTTCTTGGGGTATCTGCTTGATGACAGAGACACTTGCATCCTCCGTGTAGTTCGTACACTTCGGCAAAGAAGAGCATTTTTAAGGTTGTCTCTGAAGTCTTTTGAAACATAGTAATAGATGAATGGATCAATACAACTGTTCAAAGTAGAAAGACACAGCGCAGTTATGTATGACATATACAGATAGCTCTGGCTGTAGGTTTTGAGGAGCAAATAGTGCACAACAAGCAGCACGTTGCTAGGTGTAAAGCAGATGAGATACATGGACAGGACAGCAATAATAAGTTTGATTGCTCTTTTTCGTTTCTTCCCAGTGCTTACATCTGAGATGGAAGCATTCAGAGTCTTAATCATCAGTATGTAAGCGACAGCAGTGAGGAGAGCTGGGATTAAAAAGAGTACAATTGCAAGTGAAAGGAAATAATTGAACATATCATAAGCCAAAACATTTTCAGGCAACACATCATGGCAGGTAGTAATGTTAAGATTTGAAATATATGCTGTCTGATTAACAAGATACAATGGAATGGTGCCCAACAAAATCAGTATCCAGATAGCAAGAGAGATGCCCAAGGCAATTTCAGATTTCTTTCTTGAATGCACTATTGGGTTCACTACAACCCAGTACCGTTGCACACTGAGACATGTCATAAAGAGAATGGAACAGTACATATTTCCATAGAAAAATCCAACAAGTACTTTGCAAAGACCTTCACCAAATAGCCAATTATTGCCATTTACATGGTATGCAATCTTCAGCGGGAACCAGACAACAAAAAGAAGGTCTGCCAGTGCCAAGTTAACCATATAAATCACAGCTGGATGTTTCTTCTTTGTTCGGAAAAAAAAGACCCAGAGGGCCATGGCATTGCTTGGCAAACCAATGATAAAGACAATAATATAGACAATGGGAAGAAAAACTGTAGTCAGCTTTCCTGTGAGGACTTTTGCTGCAAATTCATCCACTTCATATAACTCTTCAGAGGCATTATTTGTATTTGGAACTTTCTGGCCAGCGAAACTTCTTCCTTTTGAACCGCTGGTTCCACTACTCTCTAAAATTAAAAAAGATTAAGAAGTTGCTGTTACTGAAGTACAGACTTTTTGTCCTTTTTCAAAATAAACTAGACATCATTATTTACTCCGAAGAAATAGAGGGCCTCATAAACAGAAAAACTAAGATTGATTTTCAAACACTTGACAATTTTTCTTCCTTTTATTATCCAAAAGACAACCTATATCCCTATTCATGGAGTTTATCAGCAACTGAAATACTTTTCCACATCACCAGTGATATTAAAAATACCTTGTTAAAATGACTGTCAGGTTCTCCCACTGTTTGAAAAGTTACAATAGAAACTGCTTCAAGTACCCCAGGGCACCATTATCCTTTCACATGGCAGAGCCAGATTACCCTAGTGCTGGGACTCATAAAACTTTGCAGCATGATAACATAACTGCAGTAGAAGTTTACTCAGTTTAGACGGCCTGAAAATCAGGTACACAGTAAAAAAGAGCATGCTGCCACCAGACAAGCTAGAACTGAAACTCAGAACACAATACCCAGCACTATGCACAAGTGATCTCCAGGTAAAGAAAGATGCATGTTACACTTATCTGAAGTGAAACTCCAACAGAGTCTGCATGAAGATGCAACAGGGCCACTCATCTGGGATCTCCTTCCAATTCATGGGCAAGATGGTGAATCTCTGCAGTTTCTACTCAAAGTCCTACGTGGCAGAGCTGACAGCTCTGTTCGCTTTATACACAAGACAGCTATTAATTCAAGTTTTCCTCTGCCTCTTCGAACGCCACAGGACCTTACAAACCACAAGGGAAAGACAGCCATTCCTGACTGCTCTGTCATGTACGACATCCTTTAGGTGTCTCAGTTCAGAACCCCTCCAGACCCAACACAGTCCTCTTGCGCTAAGAGATACTGTCCATGGACTCACACTGTTCCAAAAAGTCAGACATCCACCAAGCTAAACTGTATGGACATGGAACTTGACTGTCTGTGGGAGAATTATTTTTAACCCTATCTCAGTTGCTACTCAATAAACAGAGTTTTGATACAGTTCCAGAATGAAAAATGCTTACACCTTACATTCTAAAGTACAGGAAAAGGACTGTCGCACAAGAAATACGCAAATACACAAGTACATGTGTTTTCCAGAATAGATTCTCAAAAGTAGCACAACTTTAGACAGCTGTTCAAGTTATTACTGCAAAAATCTGATGTACAGCATATGCATCCTGTCTAGACTGCATGATGTCCTAATGAGGTGTACAGAAATACATCATATATTGGTGCTTTTTAGATTTTCCAATTAAGTTACCCTAGTTCCACTTAACAAGCATTTGACAAGCTCCAGACACAGGCAGAGTTCACTGGAAAACGGAGGTGTAAGAAAATTTTTTGCCAGTACAATGACATGGACAAATCTTTGCAGTATAGTGCATGAAGACTGAAGTCCAAATTATAACAAAACAACAGTCCTAAAGAAAATGAATTCAAATGCCAAACAGTCATTTTGTCCTATATATAGTGTAATTACAACAGGAGAGAATTATACAAATCCTGTTCTCAGATCTTCAAGCCACATCATTATGTCAGCAATACTGTTAAAAGACTGTAAAGTTTACTTCTATAATACAGAAATCCCAGGTCCTCGATTTGAGCTGTGAATAATAGAAACCATAAAACCAGCTTGAAGAACACAGCTTACACAGATATGAGATAATGCAAATGATAATTAGCTAAGCAATGCCTCTTTTCTTCAGGCTTATAGCTTAGCTGAGACAGATCGTGGAGATGCCTGGAAGCAAATCCTTTATTCTAAGCTGACAGCAGTTCTCATGGTACCATAATAAAGTGCAGCGTACAGTGCTATATTAAGCACCTGTCCTATTACATTGTAATCATACTATTTGTATTCCATTCCAAAGACTTAAATTATTGTAGAAAACTGGAAGAACAAATACTACCACTTCATTCTTATTAATGTTTTGTGATCAGATATAAAGCAATGCTTTGCAATTGATGTTCATACGCTGGGCTGAAAAGAAATAATAAAAAATGCTCACCAAGAAGCCCTACAGTGTTAGCGTGACACATTACAGTAAGAGCTATAATGAAGTGGATTGAAGGACCCACGAACCACAGACAGGACTTAGTATTGCAAGAGTGCCAGAATAGAGACAAAGATTTCTTTTGTTCTATTTCTGAAGACACAGTCAAGCTAAATGTGTGATTTTAGAGACCACATCTTGCTTTTATGCTGACTTAAAGTAGCTGGAGCCTCAGAAGTTCTGACTGCAGATACTGGGCAGCTTTTGTTAGCCCAGCTGGCACCCATTTACAGAGACAGTTCAGTGTCCTGTTTGTCTTTGCAGTTAATACACCCTCACCGAGCAACCAATCCTTTGTTAGGTATGTGCATTTTCTACATCCTTTTCTTACCTCCTCCTGCGCTTGCAGTTTTCCATAACAATTGAGTTCTTTTCCAAGCCAAGTTTCACCCTGCCTGACTCACATACAGAGAATGCAATTGACTTGCTAATCTGCCTACTGGAAAAGTTTTTGGGCAGGGGGGGGGCGGGGGGGAACCGTACTCTCCTCCCACAAAAGACTGTTTCAACACCTTTGCCAGTTGTCCAGAAGATACAATCCACTGCACACCAAACGAAGGACTGTGCCTACCCTGCAGACAGGAAAGTGACAGCAGCACAGAGTACCCAAATTAACTAGCTCAGGTCATGGTAGCAACACCCACACAGGACCAAGGTTAAGATTCCCCTGGTTCTTGGATCTGCAGCCCAGATCCACCACAACCCCGTAATGGCATCAGCCTATTTGAAAACAGCCACAATAAGCCCCTGGCTTATACTGCATCTCTCTTGGTTGGATGGGATCACACTTCCACCTCATTTCACCTCCCTACTCCAGAAGATCAAGCACCCAGCTAAAACTTTTAAGCACACTACTTCCCCCAAGACGATTCCAAATTCCTTCCCCACTCACGTCAGACAACTAGGCTATTAAGAGGCAGTTTAATTTCAGAAACTCCGCTCTGAACAACAAAATTTGCAGCTATCTAGTATCTATTCGTTGAGAAAACAGGACCTACCAAACGCTTAGCGTCAGTATTTACACAACCTTTACGTATATACTTTTATTATGTAAATAAGCCCAGGACGAACAAATACAGAAGAACACAGTGCAAAGGCATGTGTAGATATGGCAACAGGGTTTACTATAAAAGGTAGTGAAACATGAACCTTACGGCAGTGAAATATTAATGCGAACGACTTCCCCCCCCCCCCCCCCAGCACTTACGTTCAATAAGCACAAATATCAACTAACAAAGATAAGAATTAGGATTAAAAAAGAAAAATCCGAGTTTGCAGAGCTGGGAAAAAAGTAAGAACACGATCGTTCAGGTTCTTTATGTTTATACACAGCTTTCAGGCAGGCTGCTAGTCGAGAACCAGATTAGGTACAGCAC